TTGATTTTAGTTGTATTAAGATAGCATTACTTTCTACTTTTAACTCATAACAAATTTTTTAAATGATTAAAAAAATCAATAATTTCCGGTACCTCTAATTATCTTAATGTGATATCAGACGTTACTGGAATATGAAAGGATATTTTTTGTGATCAGAATGTAAAAAAAGCCGCTTCATTGTCTAGCATATTAATCAAAAACTTACCAGTTCTATGCTATTATCCTTCAAGCACTTCCGACTGACATTCGAAAATATCGTCCGGAAAGCTAAGCGATAAATGATATTACGCCAGTTACAAAACAAACATTACCTACTTTTCCTAGCAGATCCATTAGAGTTGTTGCATTCTTCTTTTGTTCAAGTGTTGGCTTGAGAGGATAATATGCTGCTATTGTATGAAGTAAATTCCAAGTTGAATTTCCTAGTTTTTCGATGGTGACAGGACAATCGGTCCTCCCCGGTTTCATTTTAACTGAATCCTAAAAGAACCAATTATATATTATACAAAAAATTCTTATGTGACAACTTTACTGATGCAATGAAAAGACCATTTGATCAGTCTCAATTTTAAACAAACTTTTTAGAATGAGGCAATTTTCAGACACAGCAATTATAATAATATGAATTGTACCTTCAATCATAGTTTATTTTTATGATAATTCAGAATAAAGAAAAGAATTCATTTCAAAAGAATTTTTTATTTCATTTCTCTTATGCTGCAATAAAAAAATGCGTACTGAGGAAGTCTGAGCAGTTGATGATTGTCGTGCATCATCCTTTGAGGACATTTTCCCAGCTAGTTTTCGAGCACGTTCCATCAACTCTTCAACGCTCATACAAGCACGGCAGTGTTCATTGCCTTTGGCAGATGAAGCAGCCGACATCGCAAATACTTTCTGCCATATACATACATACAAATTTTCCAAATTTGAAATCTACGAAAGCTTTTCTTTTCTTTTAACAACACTTTTTCTTAATTTCTTCTTATTTTTAGATAAAGCAATAAGCATTTAGAGATTATAATCTCTATGACGACGATACACTTGCCTGTAACAAAATACTATGCTTACACATTTTATAAGAATCAAAACTAACATACAATCTCCAATACTGCAATTTATGAAAATACAATTTAGCAATTATTTTGCTGGACTTGGTAATTAGAAAATCACTGCATAATACAACCAAGTGATAAATCCATGGTCAAGACACTTTTCAGAATAATGCCAATAATAATAGCATACCATAAAAGTAAATAACTTTTCAAATCAGCAAAACAAAAAGACTTCTTCCTAAATAACAAAAAATGGAATAACCTAAAGAAATGAAAATTTAAAAAAAAATTGAATCTAAAGAATCAATTAAGAATCATGACAAATATGGAATGGTCATGACAAAAACAAGTATTTCATAAAAATAAATTTATGGAGTATAGCATATTAATGATAGTACAAAACAGCGTTTGCTTCCATTTTTTTTTCTAACATCAATGAAGTCGGCTAAAAGAAGAAGCATGATGAACCATATCGCGAGTTTCATCTGTGGCTGACCGAACCGACGGTGAACGTAATATTTCATGAATGTGATGCGAAATTAAATCAATAGCAACACTGTTATCAGCACCACGTGGAATAATAACGTCAGCATACTTCTTCGTCGGTAAACAAAATTCTTCAAATGCTGGTTTTACAAGATTTAGGTACTGATGGAGGACCTAAAAGTAAAAAAATTAGGTCCAACTGCGTTATAAATTTCTACTAATTTCGTATACAAAACATTTCATTTTCATAATATATATAATAGCAAAAAACAGATGTAAATACGAATTTCTTGAGATTTACTTGCGACAATGAGCGCCCTCTCTCTTGAGTATCTCTCTGAACACGTCGAGCTAGACGATCATCGGAGTCAGTATCCACAAACAGCTTCATATCAAAAAGATTTCGCAATTCTTGATCATACAGAATCAGTATACCCTCAACAATTATAACATCAGCTGATTCAATCACATCAAAATCCTTTGATCTGTAAAACTTCTAAAAATGTCATCGATACCAATGAAAATTAAAACCGATCAAAAAGTTCCTCTGACAACAAACACTGCTAACAAATGAAGTTACACGTCTCTCTGTTAAAAAATGTCCTTCAAGAGTTTAAATACCATAAAAATTTGGGAAAATCATTCCCACGCTATCATATACATCAACTTGAATACTAATCATCTTTTTCTGCAAAAAAAACGTCATAATTAGAATCATGAAATTAATAGAAAAATGTGAAAACTTAACCTCGAATTAGTGCAAAAGTCATATTTTGGAACAACAACACTTTCACCTTTTCTCATTTTGTGAAGAACCGATATCATCAGTCCATACTCAATAGCATCTGAAAACCACTCTTTTGAAAATTAAAAAACATCATGATGTAAGAAAATAAAAATTAACAAAATTGTTGAAAATGAAAGTTCATATGTAAAAGAAACGGATACAGACACAAAACCTGGATGGTCGAAATTGAATTCTCCTCGATTCGCTTTTTTAGTTTCTTCAGCTGTCAAATTGCGATAAAATGAATCTTGTGATATGGCTACTACTCGTCGCTCATGAGCCTTTCCGAGTTTCTCTATTATTCGAGAACATACTGACGACTAAACATTAAAGATCATGACTGTTTCCAAATTAAAGATATACAAATTGAAGAAACGGTAGCACAGTTAATAATGATGTGAAATCTATTTACTTCAATTTATAGAATTCATTGCTATTTTGAGCGTTACTTTTTCTTTGAAAACTTCATTTTCACTAAACTGAACCTTACAATAAGGTTCCTGCACTAAGTCACGGCGTAGCTTTTATCACATTACATTTAGGAAGAAAATAAATAAAACGTCACACGATAATGACAGGAGATCCAATAATCCAATAAAAAATGGCAATTACGATGGGCATTATCCCATATCTGAAATAACAGAATATAAAACCTTTCCGGAAGCAGTCCCACCAGCAACACCAATAATAAACGGGACTTTTGTTGTAGTAGTAAGATTCTCAAAACCATGTACTATACTCATTTTCACTTTTATGACGGCTGTGGGTTGCACCTGAAGTAATAAAACATTCAATTACATGCAGCAAAATAACACTTCTATTTTGTTACCATCATTCAATATTGATAAGTAAATGAAAATGTTAACCATTATTTCAATTTGCTTAAAACTGCAATACCAACGTCAATGCTCTAACCCTTTATTCATTTTGATCTGTGTTTAGATTGCCAGTTACGGTGTTAAGCTTGTAATATATGGGCCATTCCCAAGAGTAAAAGTTTTGAATTTCAAAAAACCCCAATATCATTCCGCAAACAACACGCAGATAAATAATAAAGAATCATATATGTCTTGAGACTTATAATTTCTGGCTTTCGAAGAATATGATAGAAGCAATATTCCAGAGAATAACCCGAATGATGATTAATTTGAATAACGAAAATTTCTTTCACAAAAACATCTGGTAAGAACTGAAAAATATAACGTTTACGAAAAAATCAATGTTGCCCCAACAGTATTCAAACGAAACCAGATCAAAATTTAAGGGTTATTGATTAGAAAATGAATATCATGAAAACCGTAACATTCCGACCTTTTGCCTGTTGCGAAACGCCATATCCCCAGCATGTCAAGACAGATTGTCATCAAAACAAACTCAAATTTCTAATCAGGTATATCGATAAGGAGTCAGAACAATTTGACATAACAATCTGTTGGGGTATTTTAACAATTTATGCTCCATGATTTATATAACATTAAGCTAAGACATTCCAAGCAGCCGTTTATCGCGACATATCGATTTGTCTGTATGTGAGGAAGGGATGAGTAAACTAACCCCCAATTTGTCTTTTCATCTTTGAAATATCTTTATACAACGGCATGAGATAATAAATGAAAAAACAGTACTTCTCCGAGTTGTCTACCTTGCAAATTCCAATTAGCACCGATTTCGTATTACTGTAATCATTCATATGGCAATACAATGTGTTAAAAGTATTAGCGAAATTTAATCCCATTTTCCTCACGAATGGTAATTATGAGTAAAATCAAGATCCCGAGATCAATACCGCGATATGGCAACATAATGACTGATAACATCAAAAAGATAAACCTTCCCTAAAATCACTCCCTTCTCTTTTCGTACCATCTCAGCTACCACACTTCGATGTGAAAAGTATTTTGTTCACTTTTGTTCACAACACTAAAAACAACAAAGTAAAATTTATTTATGATTTTCAAAAAGTAATATCAAAAAAGAAACAGTTAAATTTAAGCATTTTCAGATGGCATGCTTCGAATAATATCTGAATCTCCAGCATCTGTAATCGATAATGTGCAAACACGAAACAATCTTCCGCATGCTGTACCTAATTCAATATTGTTACCATTGTAATGATGAACACCTGTCTTAGCCAACATCGCATAATATTCAATTTCACTTTTCCTGAAAATAACTAAATTTTTTCTTATTTGTCTATTATGATTCAAATGCAGCATCGCTATCATTTACATTGACTATTTAATGCTTCTTGATCACACATATGTATGTGACTTGCCAAAAGAATCAATTTGGATATTTCATTGTGTTGTAAAGTAAAACTCGAGACTAGGAAACAGAATCGTGTTGAACTATTGCTCATTAAATGATGCAAATAACTCATGAAATTAACATCATTCAACCTAAAAATGTTTTGGGCAAACATTTCAATTTAATTATTTTCCACAATTACTTATATTATTGCAAATATAAATTCAGAGTGGCCACTGTTATTTAAGAATAGGTAGGACCATAATAATTTTCACTTACAATCACTTATAAAAGCAATTTTGTTCCAGCAATTCTACTGAAATATCACAGTAAAGTTTCTACCATTAAGTTAAATTTAAATATATGTATAATAAACCTGAGAGGTGGCGTATTATTGGCGATAATAACCAATTTAGCCTTACCAGCCCTCAACGTTTTCAATGTCTGTTTATATCCCAAGCAATACTTTCCACTTTTCATCACCATAGCAAGTCGTGCATTGATGTTTTCCGTCGACTTCTTCTGCAATTTTTTTTTTTTTAAAAAGAGTTGCGGAAGAAAAACTGAGCAAATTCAAAGAGTGAATGATTAAAGTTATTTTATAATCAAAACATCGAGCCATTTCAATGTTTAGAAACGATAACCAACAATTCTGCAAATGCTATCCTTACGTTTTAATACACTGAAAGCCATATTATTATCGATGACGATCATTCTTAGTTCAAAGCATTCTTTTTATCAGGCATACTATTACTACTGCTACTACTACATAATTTTTTCAAGGAATAATAAACCAATTATATAAGCGAAATCAGCATAAAATATTCAAACCTGCTTCTTTACAGCCATCTCCTCTTATAATACGTGCAGTCTTTCAATCTGAAAAATGATCTCTACACACTTACGTGATAACGTAGTCAATCTCCACCTCACCCTGAACCACAATCGCCCCACCCACATCCTACCATCACTATGACTTTCCAGGTGACATTTCACGGCCGTAGATAGTTCAAAATGGTACTGTTAAATCCCGTCACGACAATTTTGGCAGTGAAATTTTTTTTGGCGATGTCATAGTCAATGTCATAATCTTTTCAGCTGATGTCATCGCTGTCACACATACTTTTGGTTTCATTCATGGAAAAACTGAAGTGGTGGCACCATTAAAATTAATGTTAAAATGTTATGAAATATTAATTTTAATTGGAAAAATTTAGTGATAGCTTTATTAACTAAATGGAAAACACGTTTCATCGGTGTGCAATGTACGTAAGAACAGCGAAAGTTTCCATCTTCAATGTGTTATCATTTAGGAGCGCTTGCAGAAGTCAGTGAGAATTATTCACTTTATAATAATTTATGAAATATTGAAAGTCGTACGAAGAATGATTTTTTCGAAAACTTGTTTTCGATTTAATAAATCTAACTTTTTACGTCGAATTCATTTTGTAATGAAACAAAAAAAAAAAATCCCCTGCAGGTGAATATTTTATAATTACGAGGATAATTTCAATTAAAGAAAACAAAATTAGTTGATCTAAAATTTGTAATTAAATGTGTAACTGATAGTTTCGAGAATGAAAGAGGAAGTAAGAGGATAAATTCTCAGTCCAAAATTTTGGAAAAGAAATTGAATAAATTGACTGCATTTGTTAATCTGGACTTCAAAAACGATTTCATTGTGTTGATTTTGTTTCTGTGATGAAAAAGTTTGAAATTGGTGGGGAATTATCTTTGTTGATGGATCATTTCTAGTAAAATGAAAGATTTCTCGGGAATCGGGAAATTATAGACTATAATAAATTAATTAAAGTTAGTTTTGTTATGCCACGCACTATTGTTGTACATCTTTTGATAATGCATAACAATTTTCTGAACAGACGAAATATGAAGGGAATGCCAGGCAGTTTAAGTGATAAATGATAATTTGTCCTTTAACGTTACTCGACAGTCGCCTTATCATACTGATCAGATTTTGTGAGTGAATGTTGACAAGATTGATAATTCGTTTCTGATTACTTTAAAATCATAAAGATAGCAATTTTGACCCAAATCTACAATTCGGTTGTTCTTTTTGAATTTGATTTTATTTCATTCTTTTCGTGCTTTAAACCTAATCATAATCCAAGCTTCCAATATATGATAAGTGTAAAAAAAAGCTGTTTAGTGAATGCTTTTAATATTTTTGTAATTTTCGTAAGTGAAGTTAAATTTATGAGAACTAGAAAATTATCGATAAGTGGTACGTTCATTTTTATTACAGTGTTATCAGCAGAGATTGAGAACTAACGATAAAGCGTTTAAAGTATAAAACAAATTTTCAAAATTCTGGAATAATTACAATTAAAAGAATTGCAGTAGTCTGAGCAGAAATTGGATCAAATCAGAGGAAAAATTAAACTGATCAATTAACGAGCCATTACTAAAATGTTCTAAATTTCATCATTTCTTTGATGAAATGATGAAATTTAGTGACCGTAATGATTTCTTTCCAAAACAAATTAAAATAAAACTTATATTATTAGAGTAAAAATTTTAATTCATGAATAGTAAATTTAATAATTTTGTGAAGTGAAAAATTAAAAATATTTCACGAATATAAAATTTATGTAAAACAGTGATCTGATTTCAGAATATTTTTATCATTAAATAGGAAAGACATGAAGGAATGAGGAAAATAAAAGGTCAGAGATCTTGTTCGGAGATTAAAATCAACCTTTTACTGTTTCATCTAACGAGCATTATTAAATAATCAACTCCATTTTATCTGCTTGTTTTAGAATGCGATTTGAATATGCACTGAGGAGACTTTTTTTTCGTCGAAATGAAGTCCTTCCAAGTGCAGGAAAACTTTTCATATGGCAATTCTGTTGGATTATACCTTATTTACTGGTTAGTTAATTAATAGTTCTTTTCAGAAATTTTTTTCAACATTAAAAATGTATATTGCAACACATTGCATGCAGAACCACAATAATTTGGATGAAAAACAGTTAAGGAAGAATTTTTCCTTCTTATCAAATTTTGCAATTCCAGAAGGCCTTAATGTGCGTAAATTGTTTGACACTGAAATTAAATTTACAGATTGCATTTCGAAATTACTTACAGACAGCGAATTATTTGGAGCGGAATTTATTTCCTTTGCGCTTACTATGTTACACGCAACATGAGTCACTAGTTGTGCCACATGGTGAAAAGGTTAATTTGAATTCATGTTTACAACAATTCTTTCAATCAACTGAACAAAAATTTAACGAGCAGAAAAAATGCTTATATGAGGAACCTATACCAATTCTTATCACTCCAAGAATTTCACATCATCTGGGCAGAATAAGTATAGTGCGTAATGCACCATCGGCCCATGAATATCGTAATTATATCCGAGAAACGTGGAAATCCGATATGGAGCCAGATATTCCTGTTATCTTCGTCCTTGGTACTGATGGTTATAATGTGAAAGAAGAAGCGGTAATTCATCAAGACATCATACAATTTGACTTCATCGATTCATATTTTAATCTTACACTCAAAATAACTTTAGCATACAAGCATTTCTTCGGAAAATTTCCCGATTTACAAGAAATTATTATGATTAATGATGATGCTGTCGTAAATGCTACGGCTATAAAAAAGGTATTGCATTCATATCTTTATGTGTTAAATAGATTTTGATTAAAATTTGGTTTAAAAAAAAAATAAATACTTCTATCTATCATCGGCTATATTTCATTCTTATTATTCATTTTTATTAATCATTTTTATTAAATAAAACACCATTTGCAAAATCTAATGTTACATTATGATCATAAACAATCGATCATAATAAATAATTATCTATATCTGTTGTTGCATACCTTTGTTAAATCAATTAAGTGTAAGAAAATAGTACTGCAATTATTTTTAACTTTTAATATTAATTGATTCTTTATGAAATTCTTCGTTTTTCTTCTAAATGAGCACATATTTTAGATGAATCGTTTGAAAGGTGCAACGCTACGTGGGAAAGTATCACGTGGCTATCCAAGATTATTTTTAAGTTCGCTATTATGGTATATACCATATGAAATGTATCCGAAATTATGTTATCCTCCCTTTATACAGGTTCATTTTTCATTAAAAAACTTCCTACACATATTTTATTTTTAAATTACAACATTATTTTACTTTTAAATTACAACTGAAAAGAATTCCATAAATTTTTTCTTCTATCAAAAATTTGAAGATTAGAATTCACTTTTGCACTTTAAAAATGGACTAAATTTTTATTCATAAATTGAAACAATTTTTAAGTACTCAATTCTCATATATATATATATATATGTCTGTCATTCGGACTGTAGTGTAGAGGATAAAGCAATTTAGAAAACAGAGTTTCATGATGATCAAATGAACCCTGCCTTTGTATATTCTTGCTAATCTTACATATAAATATTTTGTAATAGTTATGATAACTATTTTAAAGTAAATTTTAATTTTAGTAAATGTGACCTATGCGATATACTAAAAGGACATTAGAAGTGCAGTTTCCTGCTGGAAATTAATATCCATTTAACTTAAGTTTGCTATAAAAAGTTGCCGTTACAAATTAATTTTTTAAATAACGTTTAGGGCTCAGGCCTTATTGTAACACGTGAAGCAGCGCAACGAATAGTGGATGGTATTTGTTCATTTCCACGGTTTAATCTCGATGACGTCCTTATGGGTATTCTGGCAAGCTGTCTTAGTATTAACATGGAGCATTCAGATGGCTTTGATGAAAATGATTCTAGCAATAATTTTATTATTTTTCATTACCAGTGGTTACGATATTCTGTGGCACAATTAAATTCGTTATATCAGAAGACAATTAGGCGGAAATAAAGAATATTGTAAATTATAATTTGGTATTGGGATATGTGTAAATACCGTAGCAAAGAATTGAGTAAAAGTAAAGTGAATCGTGAATTGTAAAATTGAAACCTTTTATAGATAGTTTAATTCAACCTATTCGTTATTCTTTCTACTAAATTGCACCATTAAACTGTTCAGTTTCCTATTTCATTATCAATGCAATTTTCACAAAGCTCACGGAGTAAAATTTTCATTGATATCAAACTTTCATTGCCATACTTTTCCTATCCCGAAGATGGAAATTTTACTCTCTAATTTTTTTGCTTACTTAAACGCTTTTACATAGTATTTCCTTTTTATATTTTTGATCACATTAATTAATATCAATGAATTAAATAAAGTAAAATAATTAAAATACATTTTCAAGTTAAGATTAAATTTTTTAAGTAAGTTTTTATACAGTTTTCTTGCTATTCCCATGAAAAAAAGCATTTTTGCTTCAATTAAACATGAAATGAAACTTTAAGGGTCTTCAACACTATCACTGTTATCAAAAAAAAAAACGTCTTCGAAATTGATAATTTTTATATCGTTTACAGAATATAAATTTAAGATATTTCTATTATCAAATTTGCTACAAATTGATATTGCATATAACTCTGATATCGAATTGATATGACATGAATTGATGTGATTATATTATACTTCAAACAACAGCAATTATATTATCGAATTCATTACTATTATTCTTTTCATATTATTAATTATGATAATGGGGAAAAACAACAAAGATCACTGCTGTAAGGAATCTTTTCGCAGCAATTGTACTGTTAGTATATCCAATCATCATGTAGTAATTAATTCGTTTTAATAATTGAAGTTTAAATATCTTATTTTAACGTATTTGTGCTCTCTGTATTCTATTTTTTTGGAAAGATTTGGATAAAATTCTTTAAAAAAATAAAATTAACTATATAAAAGTAATAAAAGTGCCAACGTTAACAGCGAAATGAATAAGAAATGATATTGAAAAGTAATTAATATTTAGGAATGCTTTCTATTTTCATCCTCAATAAGCAAAGTTTTGGTCGCCATAATCGAATTATTTGGAAATAAAACAGCGAGAGCATCATTGATTCGATTGCAAAATCCATTCAAACTGAAGTACTGTTCAAAACGTCTTCGCTGCAACAATTATATCCGCCATTAATAGGCCTGTCCGGACTTCACAATCATTTGGTGTAACGGACTTTCATAGTCATTCATAAATCTTGTCCGATCTGACCACTCCAGTGGTTTTTTCAACAAATAAAAACAGAAGTAAACATGGAAAAGCAAAAAAAAATTGCTAAACTAATCATTTAGAGGGTTTATAATTCTGATTTAAAAAAAGAAAACAAAAAAAAATCAATGAAGATTACATGAAGAAAAGGTTAAATGATACCTGACACTTATAGATATCATCATTATCCAGAGCAGGCCATGAAATTCGTTTCATATGTTCCTCCATAGCAACTGCTAACAATTTTTCATGAGGAGCAACTATCTATAAAAGTAATTCTTCTTCAGAAATAAAAGTTATTTCAATTTCAAGTATCAAATGAGTTACTCAAAATGAATTTCATTAATTCCAAAAAAAAAAAAAACACTATACATATGTACGAAAAGTAATACAAAAATTACACCAAAATATATTGATAATATAATTACTCAAAAATATTAGCAGTCATTTTCAACGTTTCATAGTAGCATTTTTGACATTACAATTAACTTGAGATCATGAGAAACCTCACGTTCATGATGATAACTTCAATAACGGTACAATGGAAGCAATCCAATCAAGCAAGTAAACATATTGCAAACAAATTTAATGCATTCCAATCGAGAAAAAAAAGGAAAAAACAGGAAAAAACGACGAATGAAAGAGATTTCGTAACAGAGGGAAGTGCATTAAATTTATGGGAAATATTTTTTCCGATTTGCAATCATTTTTAGATTCAATGATAGTCCCAAAAAGAAATTTGCAAGGAAGCGAAGGCTTTTCCATCTATCAAAGCTGCTTCTTCTCCATGTAACGGTAACTATTTTTGTTATATTCTACTGTAATCATTGAATATTGCAACTGTCTCCCTGAAGACACTACAATGCCGTATGGTAAGAATGATACTAATAAAAAAAAAGATTTTTGCATCTATCGACTTAATAATATAAAGCTAATTGATCATCTTCTAAATTAGTTTTAGCATTGTATTTTTGCAAAGATAAAAAAGATTTTTGAATTTTAAGCATATCCAAAAATGAATACCAGAAATTGTTCAATAAAAAGAAAAATCCGACAAATATTAGTTGAAAAGTTTTGAGATAATAAAAGCATGATGATGATTATTTAGATAATTATATACCTAGGAGAGTTCAGATCATAGTTTACAGGAAATAGAAATAATAACTTTTGCGATCATTTATAATTTATACAAGCATTAGAAAATGACCTTTGAACCGGTTATTCCTTCAATCACGGTTTCAGCTGGACCACCACTATTGCAAACTATGACAGGCCTACGTTGCTCCAATGCCTCTAGCGGTACAATACCAAAATGTTCATTTGGTGATGTATAGAGAACTGTATCACATTCTCTGTACAATGCAAATTTTTCGGGATCTGTTGGAGATTTCACAAATTCCACAATATCATCAACCTGAAACAGAATGAGAAAAGAATATTTATTTGTGAATTAAAAATAGTAAAATCTTATGGTGAACTTAACTGTTATTTAATTTCATATTTTCAGTTCAAAAATTCACATATGAAAAATATCTTCATTTACCTTCAAATCTTTAACCACTTTTTGTAGTAAATTATAATAAATACGTGATTCAGGTATATAAGGCATAACAGAACCAGCAAGTACAATACGTGGTCGTATTTGACTGTTTCCTTTTAGTAACGCTATAATATAATAAAGATTTTAACGTATTTTTTGACATATGTTAACATTTATATCTTCTGGTTAATCATTTCTCATTCCATGCATGTTGAAAAATTTTTTAACTCCTTGTAAAATTTTAATTTGCCTACAGCATTTGAAAATAAATATCAAAAAACCCATAACTTTAACATTGCTTAATTTTAGCATTTTCGTATAGTGTTACTAGCAGCCTTAGCTAGAAAAAATTCATTGTCAGTTTGACCTATTTTGACTTATGATATATAGGGCGATACGAAAATTGATGATTTCAAATATACTTAAAAGATGATTACCAGCAGCTCTAATAATAATATCCAATTTTTTCTCAGGCCAAAAACGACTCATCGATAAGAATGTGTAACGTTTATTGTACTGACGTTGCTTACGACTGATTGGTTTAACTCCAATCTTAACAGCATCCACATCACATGGCGGATAAACTACCATTAGTCGAGATGGATTTACTTCTGGCATCACTCGAAGAAACTGACTTTCTATAAGTGTGTCATCATTTACAATAATATCTTTTGAAATGACTCTGGAATTAATATGAAAATTTTTTTTCATTAATACAATTTAATTTTTTTGGAGTTTGGAAATGAAAAAATAAGTTTTTAAAAGTTTCAAAAAAGTCGGAAACTGGAAGCGTAATTTTATACTTTTAAGAATTAGGAAGATAATTTTAGCTTCCTTCATTAAGTCTAATTTTTACATCCGTTGCATAAATATTTTAAATAAATATCTGAAATGAAAAATGAATTACTTGTAAAATGACTGTTAACCATAATAAGATCAGCTTTCTGGAACAATAAACCTTCGATTAAACCAATTAATCGTGAATACCAACGATAGAGAAAAAAGCGTGTGGGTGTAACGAGTTGTTGTGGAAAATGACAATAAAATAAAATTTTAACATTTGGAAATCGCCATTTCAACATCGGTAAACAACTATTAAATAATTTAGGATTAGGATTGAACATTTTATTTGCCATTACTGTTTGATTGAAATCAAATTTATATTATTAAACTTAAACCTTAACTATAAATAATCTTAATTGCAGTATTATCTCATAAAAAAACCCGTAAACATATTTGAGCGCTTCCTGACGGATTGTTGCACTTCTGACATAATTTCTTTTCACAAGAAACCTGAAGAGTGTTGCAGATCGTAATTGTTTTTATTCATATACCTTGCACTATGATCAATGATAACAAGATCAGGGACAAGACCGGAAAATATAAGTTGCCAAGCAAGCGCTATATTCTGTGTCCACCAATCTCCTGGATGCAATGGCAAATTTACATTTCGTATTTCTGAAAATATTTTTTTTATTTTTTTAAATATAATTTTACAATTAATCTAATTTAACGTTACTAACTAACATATGCTGTTAATAGTTAATTTAAGAAATGCCAGCCTTGAAATTACACCAAATGGCTTAATATATGCTCCAAAAATTGATAGTAGATAAGATTAGGATGAATTAATTTAACTGTTATTGTTGACATATTATATTATCACTCCCGACATCACGTTGAAATCCAACTGATTATGCAATTGTAGAAATAATTTATTCATTTGTTACAAATATTGCAAATATCTTTTTGTGATTTAAAAAAGAAAATAAAAAATGACAATAGGAAAAGTGGAAAAAAAAAAACAAAGACTAACCCACGTTATCGAATAGTTTAACATTCCAGTAGCAATCGATCATCGTTGTATACCAAATAACTCGATGTCCCAATTCAACAAAATGTTTAATCATCCCGAGTGCGCATCGATCGGAGCCGCCGTTCCATTGCTCAGGATGCAAGATGACAACGAGCATGCCTTAAATTGTCAATCCAAAAGTTAATTGTTAAGCATTTTCATAACACAAATACCCATCGATATTAAGTTAAAAAAAAGATATACTGATAATAACAATATGATATACTGATAATAACAATAATGATAATTATTTTGCAAAGAAAAAAATAGAAATAATTAATTGCTAAGGCTTAAAATCTATCCAGTGAAATTCCTAAACTTCCGGTTTGCAAGATCAGGTAGTTTATGCGAAC